TGCCGCCCGCAGCACCGGCAGCAGCGACGCGAGCGACAGCCCCGTGCAGCGCGCGCCACATCACACCGCGCACCTCGCGCTGCGCCCACCAATGCCAGCGCGCGCCCCGCCTGCGTCACCGCATCGCCCCATCGCGCCACCGGGCCCCGCTGGCAGCGCTAGTCAGAGGGGGGGAAGGAACACTTCCAGGCACAGCCAATCACAGCGGGGCTGGCCTGTGACTGCTGGCCAATAGGGGTAGATTCGTGGGGGGAGAGGCGGCCAATAGGGAGCGCGGGTGGAGCCGCCATGAGAGCTTGGCTGGACCCAGCGTTGTGGAGTTGTCGCCCTGCATCGCAGCAGCGGCGCAGAGTTGTGGCGCGCACTGTGAGCACTTACGCATTGCCTATGGAGGTCAGCCTGCCTGCAGACCTCACCCTACCCTGTAACTGCACTTAATCTTAGCTCACAAGAGGCCAAGTGATCATGGGATCTCCCTCCACTACTCATCCCTCCCTCACTGGCACAGACACTTGAGCCCCAGTTGGGCAGCAGCAGTGCAGGTCCAAGAGGGGCTTAAGTCACCTCTGCCCCAGCAACAGGCTACAGAATCTCAGCTCTGAAATGACTTGGAAAATTGTGCAAGCAACAACAAGCAGCCAAGCTGGAGTGCAGGCCTTAGAACTGGCTGGCTGCTCACTGGGGATAGCGTTTCCAGTGTCAGCAGAGCTTCCTTTAGTGATGATTTTAACAGGAACAGCCAGCTCCTGTGTTGCTTCCGCATAAACCCTGTTTTGTACTCCTTGGTTCCAAAGCGTCCCAGTGGTGCACAAACAAAGGTGCTTTTATAACAGCCCTGGTACACCGGCATTAAACGTGGAACTCATTGTCACCAGATATTGTGGAAGCTGACAGTTTACCAGATTCAAAAAGGGATTGGACACCTTGGAGGAAAGGGGCATCAGTAGCTATTGAGCAAGAGAAGCAGCAGTACATCCTTTAACTCAGAACTTCCTAGACAAATGGTTTTCAACCTGTGGTCTGCAGGTGCTTGGGTTTCCACCAACTATAAGGGGTCTGCAAAACATGACTATGATCAATCAAAAGTATGTGAATACCCACACTTACAATTCAAAGGAATCCATACCTCCATACCTTGAAGTTTCCAAAGGGGTCCTAAAACTTTTTAGGGGTCCACAAATGAAAAAAAAAAAGGTTGAAAACCACTGTCCTACACCTTAAGTGCTGGAAGCACCGTAAGTGCAAGTAAGAGAGCAACAGTGGAAAAAACCCTGGTCATATCCAGGTCACTCTCCATGACCAATTCATAAATGCTGTATAGAAACCTGCAAGGAAGAAAATCCCGTTGCTGCAAGAATTACATCCCAGGCCTCACTCCACAAACCACTGGCTTATATGAAGACTATAGGTGACAGTATGAACTAGACCCTTTTTCCACAAATGCCATTGCTATAGGCGAAGAGCTCACGTTATTCATCATAGAAGAACGCGGTATATCCTGGCAGACCTTGATTGAATCAATCGATATCACTTATAATAGTAAAAAGGAATGGGTGACGATATGTAAATTAAGCGATGACCCACAAAAGGCAGATCAACATCATTGTCATCGTTAATCAAATTGCTCACCAGATGTTTCTTAATGGAAAAAGCCCGAAAACCCACAAGGAGACCTGCACCTGGAGCTGGCCTAGGGCCACAGGTGAGTTTGACCCTCCTATGCTAGACAATGAGATATGGGGAATGAGGTCTGCCATTTTGCTGGAACATCTCAGACGCCCACCAAAGCCGCTTGAGACGGCTAAGCTTCAGAACACATCACAACTAGAAATAATGTTTACCACTGCCTGACAACAGTAGTGTTGAGGTTCCCACAGAGACCTGCACGTCCACACAACATAGGACACCTCACAGATATCTCCAAGATCAGCTTCTCTAGGTATCCTGTTCCTGTTGCTCAGCTCCCCACTACCCCTGGAGGTACCAAACCACATGTGAGTCTCGCTATTTAATTCAAATCTACTATATCATATTTTAAATATCTCAGTAGTAACAACTGATGTAACCAAATGTATTAGATGTAGCTTAATTTATAACAGATGCATTTGTGTTAGATGTCTCACACAACAATGCAACCCTGTTAATGAAGACCACAAATAGACAAGCGACATTCCGTGATGGTGAAGGAAGGAGATGAGGAATCTTTCCTTCCAGAAGTGTAGTTTTCACTAAAACATAAACCCCAACTAATTTACAGCTTCCACATTCATAAAGTAGCTGACAGGGTCCAGGAAGGCATTTGGCTTAATGTTCAGAGCCAGGGTTTATTACCAGCGTCCATAGTCAGGGGGTAAGGCAAGGTCAAACCGGGGGGTCACATGCTAAGCCAGAAGGGTTACCAGGAGCAGAAGTCAGTGAGCAAGATGAGGTCAAACCAGGCTTCCAGAAGTCAGGGACTGGGTAAAAATGGAGGGACAGACACCAGGGAGTCACATGGATGAGAGCTACATGCAGACTGAGGCCAGTTTTTTGTGCAGCAGGGGCCAGATGCTGCCAGAGCTCCTTAAGAGCAGCCCTAGAATCAATCAGCAGGCTCAGATTAAGCTGGTCCTGCTTAGGGGGTTGAGTGTTGCTGACTTAGTTGCCTGGCTGCAGTGTAGAGCTCTTACAAGAACTGGTTCAGTTCAGTTTCAAAAGTTTCAGTGAAACAAAGACATTTTAATATACACAATCAAAGTGTAGATCGATGAATATCAGTAATCTACCCGACCAAAGAGGAGGCTCTGGCCGGGGGAAGGAACCCAGGCAACTGGGGGATGTTTTCCAGTCACCCGTTCGCACACATCTGTAGGCAAAGTTTCACTTGATAGTATCCTTGGGCAGGGGGTAGCGGGTGCTAGGGGGTGTTCTCTACAAGGTGTCACCACTGCGAATCCTTGTTATTAACCTGCAGCCTTCACTTCCATTCCTGTTTTCTCCTTTGTTATCCCTCAAACAACCTCCAGGGCCAGAATGACCCTCTTGGCTCACAGCCTGTGTTTATATATGTCCCTGGCCCTGCCCCCTGTGGTCATGTGCCTCCCTGAGCTGCCACAGATGTTTTCTGACTCAGTTTGCTGGCTTAGTCTTTGTGGCTTATGGTGCTACTGCAATACAGCTAGTTCTGTGGTAAGAGCTTCCTTAGATCCCTTCCATCATCAAGTCTGTTCACAGGGACTGGGCAGGCTGGCTTCCTCCCCTTTCTCAGTAATGGGGTAGGAGCCCTGCTACACTTGCCTCTCCTGCTAAACTGATCAACGAATTAATATGGTACAACATTATAAGTAGAAGTGCATGGGCATATATTTCACTGAAACTGCAAATAAAGGTAAGACTAATTTGGACACAGAAGACAAATGTATCTTCTGCTGAAACTTGATCACCAGGTCATACAGGGAACAACTGTAGATTCTCAAAATGTTATACCACTAAGTACAAGACAATCCAATATACTGCTACATGCAAGGTAGATAAAAACAATTGTATATGGTACTAAGTAAGGAAGGATTAGCCCACCAAAACCCAGAGGAAAAGATCTGTTTCCAGGCAAGATAAGGGTT